ATTTAATAATATGTAATAATTATATAAAAAAATAAAATAAAAAAATTATTTCTATAACACTACATTTTAATTTAAGCACATTTCCTAATACATTTCTAAATGTATATAATATATACAGCAGCCATATGACTGACTACAGAAGTCAAACTAAAAATATAGGCGCATAACGCGGCTTAATTTATGAAATTAAATTACGAATCGAAAATTAACCTTAACGCATCATGTCCTGTTTTTGACCAAAACAGAGCAACCCTAAATCTCTTAGCTAGGTTTTGGACTGTAAATTAGTTGTGCTGCCTCCTTTTAATTTTGAGAAGCAAACTTTGATTTTTATTTGTCATGTTAGATGTAGAGCAACAAGATATATTTGAATATCTCTTAAAATTTGATGGCTGCAATTCTACTAACGTTGACAAAGAAGAAAAATTGAAAGGGCATTTAATGGTACAGCTAGCTTTCACATTTATCAACTTTGTTTTTTAGTAAGTTTACTAAGAGCATAGTATATATAAGTCTTTGATTCCAATACCTTGATTTCAATAAAAAAAAAAAAACTAAAATCTCAACTTTAAAAATATTATTCTTAATTAATGAAGATTTTTAAAAATTAATTGTTGAATTTAATATTCTATTTATATAAATTATACATATTAATTTTCAGATTGATTGAATATATCTAACTATATAGTTTATTAATTATATAAAATTTAATATTATTAAATATATATTAAAAATACAAATTTTTTTATTGAATAATTATAAATGTTAGATCAACTTAAAAATTGATATATATTATTTATATCAAAAACACATTATGTCCAACAATTAGTTTTTGAACTATACATTGAAAGGTGATAATATTGAAGTTGAAACCTTAATATTTTTAATGAAAGTCAAGATTAATATGTATTATATATGCTTGTTTACTTTAGTATTTTATTTGTTTAGTATTTTATTTGTTAAATAATAATTTATTATCTAAAAAATTTTATTCACAATGTTTTCATATAATATAACGTGTAAATATTACATAATTTTTGTGTCATTAAATACTTTTTAAAAATAAGACGAGTGAATTAGTAATTAGCATCTGTTTAATTAAGGTGAAGTGATGTTTTATAAACAAGCACACCATGTTGGAAATATCTAAAATAAAGCAGGCTTATTTATTAGTTGCTGTCCTCCAATACAATGAGTTGTCAATATCATGTAAAGGAAAGCCACAATTATTGGGGTTACATGAAGGAGACGATACATACCTCCATCTAAATCGAACCATGCTTTTTACAAAAAACACACAATCATTGCCCCTTAATTGATGTTGGGTTTTGGCATCCCAGAAAATAAAACGAAAAAAAATTAAGAAATAAAAGGCTAGATAATGTTGTTTGACTTTTCTCAAGGCAATAAATCCCCTTCCAATAGAAATCTTTTGTTTAAATAACCAAGATTTTTTTAAATTATTAAATAATTTAGAGGTCAATCTCTTTTTTAATTTATAAAATAAAAAATAATTAAAAGATAAATTTTTTTATATATATAACCTTACATATTATTTAATGATAAGTTATTTTTTTACATACTCTATTAAATTTAAAATTTTATATATTTATTTATATAATTATCAGGTAAAAATTATATAAAAAATTATAAAAAAAATTTAAGCAAATCATTCGTTATATGAAAAAACCTACCGAAACCCCACGTAAATTCCATCTCATCAAGAAAGGGGGACTGACTTCAAATTCAAAAAAGCATCCCATTTTTATTCTCATAAAGAATTTCCCCTTCTACGTGTAAGACACAGAACTCCACAGCCAAAAAGAAGACTAGACTAGATTCCCCCAGAATCGTCACAGTGCTTTTTTTATGTTATCTTTGCGGTGAATTACAGTTGCTGCTGCATGCTGAAATAATGTTCCAAGGAGAAAAGCCATTTTCAAACTTCAAAGTCGGCAGTGGAAACCATCATCTGCACGTGGCTAATTAAGAGGAAATCAAACAGGGACCAACCACCTTGTTTTTAACATGTTAGGATTTCACCACGTTGTTTTTGTTTGGTTTTTACCTCTCCAAAATGTTGGCTTTGATTTTCTTAGGGAGAGTTTTTCTTTTTATAAGGGTAATAATTAAATGTTAATATGTTAAAGATATTAGTGAAAAATATTAAATTCAAGACTTGAAAGTGCAAATTACGAGCTACTCTTTGAGGCAACAAGTGACCATTGAACCACGATACGTGGAATGCTTCTTAGGGAGAGTTTGGAGTGTAACTAAATGTCAAAATTCCATTGCTTTCCGATCACACCGACGGGTCTCATACCCTTCACCTATACATCTTTCCCTACGTGTCCTCTTGACCCAACCACCACGCAATTTTTCCATACCATAATTGCCCACGTACCCATATTAAAATCTTATTGTACCCAATATGGAATGGTAAAAGCCACATTTTAAGAAACAAAACTAAGTCTACGCTTGATTCAATTCCCTTCTAAAACAGATGTTAAATTTTAATGTTAATAAATTTGAGTCTACGCTTGATTTCTCTTCTAAAACAGATGTTTAATTTTAATGTTAATAAATTTGAGACTAGGTTGCACCTTTGTTTTATTGAATCAATAAAAATATAATTTTTTTTTTAAAAAAAAATATTATATAGTTTAAATTATAAAACTTAAATTATTAAAAAAATTAAATTCTCTAATTATATTAAGAATTGTTTTTTTAATAATTTTTATTTTGTAATTCAATACAACTTAAATTATTAAAAAAAATTATTTACATTATTTGAAATAGGATTGTGAGATATCATGGTTGATTAGTATTATAAATCATAAATTTATTTTTCAAACTTCTACCCCTTTGACCTAAATCATTATTCAAATTAATAATCAAAGCCTTTTTACGTGGAGTAGCTGGGAAGAATAAAATGGTCCAAACCCATGCAATGTGCTCAAACTTTGTGCTTTTTCGTGGAAGTTCTTGAGTGAAAGAAACCCCAATCCCAACAAACAAAACATTACCTATTTTCAAAAAAAAAAAAAAAAATCCCAACAAACAAAAATAAAATAAAATAAAAACAAAAAAGACACGTGTAGTACACGTGTCGCAATCTGTCGTCACCATTGTCTTTCCCTTTCTACACCCGCTGTCTCTTTGACAAAATCCGGCCTAACTCTCTCTAACGAATCCACGTTCAGCACGTGTCCGACGCTGTCCGACCGTCCGACGTGGTCTCTTTCGCCCCCCACGCGTGAAAGTGGCATCCACAAGTTCAATTATTTTGCATTTTAATTTTGAAAAAAAAAAAAAACTAAATAAGTCCTTTGAGCTTCTTGACTATTGGGAATTGACTCCTATATATTTCTTTTGTTACAATTTAACACTTCAGATTATCAAGAGATAAAATTAAGAAGGATGACAAAAATCAACATAAGAATTAACTAGCTATATAAAAATTTTGATTTGATATCAAGATTTATTTACTGTTCTAAATGACTACAATACTAAATAATTGATATTAATTAATTGATAAAAAAAACACTTTTTTTTTATCTATGTACGTGAAATTTGAATCCTTATTCTCCCGTCCTATCTTTTTTTCTCATGAGAATTTCAATCAATTTGCTTCTTTTCAAAAAAGTTCAAATGAACCAATAAAATAAATGACAAAAAAGCACATGAGGAATAGTAAGATGCATGCATGTAGATATTAGTGGTTTTATAGATTTGTTTCAAATAAAAATATATATATTTATCTTGAACTAAAGGGATTTTAATGAGAATTAATTTTTCATTAAGTTAATTAAGTTACTTTCTTAATTAACTTTTAACCTCGATAATCTATCCAAAAAATTTTAATATTAAAATTACATGCTTTTCCCATTTGCACAGGGCTTAACTTTTGAATTTAATGCATTGAAGGATTAATTGTTATAAAATAAACTATGAGAACTCAATTGCATTTGTTAATAAACTAAAGAGCTTATTTATTTGGGGTTTAAAAATGTAGAAGTCTAAAATTTTTTTTTCCCTTTTTATCCTTTTTAGGGACGTGAGAATTGGGTTTCCAACTTTCTAGAAGAGTGCGTGAAATATCGACACGTTACCCCATTTTGGCTCCCGTGAATATACCTGCACGAATAATTATTGAGGACACCTGAAAATATGAAATAATACAATAAAATGATATACTTTTAATATTATATAATATTATAAATTTAAAATATATTATATAATTATATTATTAATTTTTTATTTAAAAATTTATTCATATTATTATATATATTAATTTATTTAATAATATATAATACTCATTTTAATATTACATAATAATAAAAAAAATTATAATTTTATATAATATTATTATAATTATTGTATTATTGATAATATAAGTATATTTAGTTTCTTTAATTTAATCAATCTATAATTAATTTTAAATTATCAAACTTTGAGTATTAGTTATTCTATCAACAATGTTCATAATATATATATATATATTGAATCAAACCTTCTATTTCAATAATTTATCTCTTAATCTTAATACTTAAATTAAATTGATCGAGTATTTAACTTCTCGTCAACTACTTAAAATTTTTTTTATTTCCTTATAATTTTTCATATTATATATATATTCTATAAATGGTCAATATTAGAGTCTTTAACTATTCATAATCGTACTAAACACAGTTATATTGTTATTGTGTAATTTTAACAATTATTTGTGTGCCTAGGTCACCACCCGTACAAGATGACTCACTCCTCCTGGGTTTTTCCTGGCGGTTCATTGCACCCTTCCCACAAGTAGGATAAGGTCGGCCGCATGATAATGACCACGTGTCATTCTTCACAACGGTGATAAACATCAAGTGGGTCCCATTCACTCAATAGTAGGAGAAGGATAAGGCGAGGATAACCATATCTTATCTCTATCCCATCCCCCCAACCCCTTTCCATATCCCTATAAATACTAGTTGCCTCCCTGACATAAAAAAAGTTGAAAAAGAATTTCGAAAATAAACTTTAATCCTGCCCCTGTTTCATCTCCTTTCTAGCTCGTTCTCAAACTTTCTCTGCTCTTAAACTGTAGAGGAGAGATTTTCTCAATTCCGACATGGGAGTACCGGAGACAGACCCACTAGCCCAGCTGAGCTTGCCGCCGGGTTTTCGGTTTTACCCGACTGATGAGGAGCTTATGGTGCAGTATCTATGCCGGAAAGTTGCTGGGCAACCTTTTCCTTTGCCGCTTATAGCTGAAATTGATTTGTACAAGTTTGATCCATGGGTTTTACCGGGTAAGAAATCGTCACCGTAATTCAAAATTTGCTGAGAGTTTAATTATTTGGAATTTGAATTTATGTGCTAAATGGGGATTCTGTGGGTATTTTTCAGATAAAGCGATATTTGGGGAAAAAGAATGGTACTTTTTCAGTCCTAGAGATAGGAAGTACCCAAACGGATCTCGACCCAATAGAGTTGCCGGGTCCGGTTACTGGAAGGCCACCGGAACGGACAAGGCTATCATGACGGAGGGTCGGAAAGTTGGCATCAAGAAAGCTCTGGTGTTTTACATCGGTAAAGCTCCAAAAGGAATCAAAACTAATTGGATCATGCATGAGTATCGTCTCATAGGCAACCAGCGCAAAAATGGAAGCTTAAAGGTATGTACTTTATTGTCGTATAATTAGAAAATTCATGAAAAATTGCCTTATTTTCGAAAGTACTAAACTGATAGAGCTTTTTTGATCTTTTCAGCTAGATGATTGGGTTTTGTGTCGAATTTACATGAAGAATTCAAGCTCTCAAAAACCCACCATGGGGAGCGTTGCAAGCAAAGACAATAGCAACAATGTCTCTTGTTCTTCTTCTTCGTCGCAGCTCGACGACATGGTCGATTCCTTCCCAGAGATAAACGACCGTTCCTTCTCTTTGCCACAGATGAACTCGCTGAAAACGCCCCAGAACTATGAGAAAATGGCATTTCAGAATCTGGGTAGCGAAAATATAGACTGGGCGAGTCTCGCTGCGCTCACCTCAGTGCCGGACCTCGTTCCAGGAGGGTATACGCAGGCGCAGGGTCAGGCAATTCCAAGCTATGCAAGCAATGACGCTTACTTCCCCCCCATCCGGCCGCTCGGCCAGGTGGGTTCATCGGCGAACAAAGGTCGTAATTCGGTGGAGGAAGAGGTGCAGAGTGGGATCAGAAATCATCAGCGAGTTGAGAACTCGGGATTCTTTCAACAGAACCCGGGCTGGTTGACTCAGAACTTCTCCAACTCGGTTGATCCGTCCTGGTTCGGATACCCGACTCAGACCAACGGGTTCGGGTTTAGTCAATGAAAAATCACTGGAAAATATTATTAAGAAAGAATTTTATGTACATATTTGGAATTCTTTGGCTAACCTTTTTGGCCTTATTGATTCCAATTTCCAATTAAAACTTGAAAGAAAAAAAAAGTTGTGGGGGTAGATTTAAATTGAGGGTGGGTATGGTAGCACTAAAGCAGCACCAAAATTGGGATAATTTGGAGCTAGCTCTTTTTTGTTGCATAGAGAAGATGGATGGAATGTACAAAGCACTTCTTTTGTACAAGACAAATCTCCAAAATCAATTGAGGATGTGAATTTTTCCTTCTTTATGTAAACATACATTGATAGAATGAAAATTTACTTGTTAGAGTACAATAATTGATCAGCTTTTAAATCGTGATAGGGTGGCATATGTATAAAGATTTCACATTCAAACAATTTTATTCGAAATGTACTTACAATGTGTTAATGATTTAATCATAGCTTAATCATTTTTTAATAACATTAAGAGTTTATAAATTTAAATTGTATGATATACATATAAAATTAAAAAAAAATATATCATATCATCAACTACTAACATAACTTCTTTTATATATATATAAAGGTAAACACAATATGAAAAATGAAAAGAACAAGATGAAATTGAACTAACAACGTACGAAATTCATAAAAACTGAAAAAATTCAAGTTCTTTACTCAAGAGTTCGAATCTATTCAACGTTCCTACTGCCCGTCCTTATCCAGACTGAACCACTGCCATATCTTTCTAAAAATAAAAAGAGAAATCCTAAACCACAAATCTATGAGGACCAAAACCCCCAACTCATGCCTTATTAATAATAATAATATTATTATTTTATAGCCAACTTGCGTTTTTGTTCAGTTTTTTAATTTTTAATTTTTAATTTCAAAAATCAAGTACAGTGTATGAAGGGTGTAGAAACAAGCAATGCAATTGTGGCAATTTTTTTTTTTTTTTATCAATTTGATCTGCATTATTATGAGTACGATATTTTTTTTTATCACACTTCATATGATATGACTTAATATTAATGAGTTAATAATAATATATTAATATCAAATCATTAATATTTTTTTGCAACTGGCCCTTGAGGCCTAGTGGCATAGCCACCGGTGCATTCCCTCTTCCTTGGCAGGGTTCAAAACTTGTCCTTGCAAAATATGTTCAAAAAAAAAAATCATTAATATTTTTTTAATGAGTTTATGTTTCAAATGGAATAACTCAATTGATTTAAAACTTAAAATTATAAATTTGAGATTTTATGCTTAAGCTTTAATTAGGTAAAATTTTTTTTAAAAAAAAGAATAATAATTTTTATATAGGTTATATTTGGTACAGTTGGTAGGAATTTTTTTAGACTTCAAAAGCTCCAATTACATCAAATACTATAATTTGTGAAAAATGTTACAATTTTTCACAAGTTAGTTTTTTATCCATTTTATTACAAATCGTAAAAGCACCAATTCAGTGCTTTTGTAGAAAATTCTCATTTACAATTTAATAAAATTAACATATATTTTTTTATTTTTTTTCTATTTATAAAAATAACATTTTTACAACAATTTATTTTTAACAAAATTTTTATTAAAAACTTCAATTACATCAAACGTGCACATAATCTATGATTAGATAACGTAATATTCAAGAGTTGATCAATGTATACTAATTTGGGTCATACTTTCAAATAAAAAATAAATAATAAATACATCATATATTATACAAATCATTATATAACATGGTTTTCGTAATTTAATAGACACCACGTGCTGTAATTCTATAGGTTGAAACAGGTGAAATCGATAAGTACTAGGTTTTGGATCAAGAGATGTTTGAGGATAATTCTGAGAGATGCCATTGGACCGATCCCAAGAAACTAAAGTATACATTAAAGATATGCATTGACTATTTGACTGGTTGTTTAAGGGATTGAAGTGTTTGGCTTCCTTCCTAACGCCTGTTACTAGCACGTGCGGTCAACATTGCGGCCACATTTTCCTTGTTAATTTTGAGCATATCTTCTTAGTTCTTGCCAACGATGAAGGGAAAAAAAATATCTTGATCATACCATGTTAATAATAAACGAGTTTGTTATACGTAATAGATTGTGTATTTTATAATTATTAATAAATAAAAATTTTTAATTTTTAATTTAAAAATGTCAACAAATAATTAGTTATTTTTTTGAAATATAGGAACTACTAATTTTGCAAACAAAACATCATCCTTTTAAATATAGGGATTTTGTGTAATAAGGTATTTGACTTTTGGCAATTTCTAGTTGCATAGCACATGTTTTAAACGATATAATCAAATGTTTTTAAATAATACTCTACCAAACTAATAACTCAAATTTTATTTAAATTAATGTGGACCATTTGACAATTTTTTTTTTTTTTTTGGTAGAATCAAACAAAGGAGTTAGAAATGGAGAAAAGTGTTTCTATGAAAAGAGCATAAATAATTCTTTCTTTTGGCTTGAAGAATTCCATCCGGCATTTGACCAAACTGAGAGAAAAGTCAAGGGTTTGGATAACTTTCGGCGGTTTCTAACGCGAGCACTTATGTCATATGTCACAAATGGATACAAACCATTCTGCGTAAGCCCTCAGACCTACCCCCATTTTATAGATATGTCCCTAATTTTTTTTTTTAAAAGCAAATAAACCCCTACATCATACAATTTGAGTGAACTAGACCTTCGTTAATGACTTTTATTAACCTCAATGTCAAATATATTAAAAAGTAAATGTTTGTATTATAAATTAGGTTTATAATTTAATTAAATTTAGAGATTAGTACTTTAGAAAATTAATTTCCTTCAATTATTAAATTTAATATGAGAAATATGCATTTAAGATTTCCAAAAAGAAATAAGTCTCAAAACATGTGAAAACGATTCAGAAATACCTTAATTGTCCAAAAAAGAAAAAAACCTCTTTATTAGTCTTTGTTAATTGCAGTTAATGCAACGGATGAAAGAATTGATTATCATCATTAATGTACATTAATTTAAAAATTAAAGAAAATAAATAATTTTAATTTAATTGTTAATTTCATTTAATTGCCAACATTGATGCATTATCATTAGACATTTTTTTGAAACTAACAAAGTCAGCTAAGAAATAGTTAATTTGCTTGCAATTGTGATGTTCAAGGACTTATTTGTTTGTTTTTTTCTAGTTTAAGGGGTTAAGGAATGGTTTTGCCCAAAAACTACTTGTTTCAGCACCAATAATATAGACGAAATTAGTTTATTAAAGTAGAAAAATCAATTAATTTATTTCTACTTTCTTTCTTGTTTTTAACTACGCAAGGAAAGGATGAAAAAGAGAGAAAACTTCTTGTTCATATGGTTCGAGTTTGCATCTCGGTCTCATTTGGGTTGTGTTGTTGACAAAGTCTGAACTCTTTAGAACAAGATGGTATCTAATTAGGCCCATAGTAAGGGCCAACTTTATAATTTGAGAATCTGAGTAGCAAAGTTCTAATTCCATTTTGACTAGGTACACATAATTATAAAAAATCTTGCTCCAAGGGAGTTCAACTGATGAACAGTATGAATATGAGATTTAAATTACAAAATTTTAATTAAATATTAAGTTAGGTGAGAAGGGAATTGGAAAAAGAAAATGGCTATTTTTTTATATAATTCAATATCACATGGACAAAAAAAATCTTAGTTATTTATTTTTTTTTATGGTTTTGAGAAAAATTAAGACATCTTGATAATTAAAATATCAAAATAAAAATAAAAAAAATTAAAATATCATTAATGAATCAACACACAAAAAAGATTATATTCATTAAGGGTTATTGAACAATTTCATAAGGAGTATTAATATTTAAAATGTCAAATTATCTTAATTTTTACTCTTTTTTTTTTTTTACTTTTCTCTTTTTCTATTACTCCAATACATTTTCTGTTCCAAAATAATTATCATTTTTTTACTTTAAATTTGTCTCAAGTTAATTGTTATTTTTTAATTTTTTAAAGTAGGCAAATATTTTTCCCTTGTTTAACTCTATCATTATTTATTCATTTTAATTAATTATCTAATCATTTAATGTAAAAATTACATTAAATTTTAATTAATTTATAATTGAATCATATTAGATCTCATTAAAAAAAATTTATCTAATACTTATTTTTCCATTCAAACTAACAAATGATTGATATTCCATCAATATTTACATAAGTAGAATTGCAGTCGGGGACTTGGGGCAATAAGCAGGTGGAGGTTTGATTATTCAACTCCTTTGCTTAGCCGCAGCTACCAGCAGCCTCATAAGTCCTCTGGGTAATTACGAAAGACTAAACCCCATATTTACATTTTGTTTATTATTTTTTTATAATTAATATTTTTTTTATCATTTTTATACTCAATTAATATCTTTTATAATTTAAAATTCAAAAAAAATTTTAAATTAGTCATAAAATTATAGTGTAAATAAAAAATTGAATCGTTAATTATTTTTAAATTTTTTTATTAATTTTAAATTA